ATAAAAACGTATGTCTGTCTGTCTGTTTGTCTGTCTGTCTGTATGTCCGGGGTACCCTATAGACTCGAAAACGGCCGAACCGATCGTCGTGAAAATTTGTGAGCGTGTTCTGTGGGATCCAGCGGTGGTTATAGGGGGGTCAGTTCTCCGATGCGATGAGTCCTTCTACCTTAAAAAAATTATTTGAGTGCTCCACCCACGAAAATACGAAAACTCGGAAAAAAATTGAAAAATCTGAAATTCGCAAAATTCACTAAGGCCTGAACCGATCGCCGCAAAAATTCAGGGGTGGGTTCCCGGGAGCTTCAGGAAGGTCATCTGAGGGTCGTCGTTCTCATGTTATGGGTCCTCCCCCCATAAAAAAACTGATTTGAGTGGTCCTCTCACCGAGAATCAAAGATTTCATCAAGGGAAAGACGGGAATTCGATTTTCCGGAGGACATATAAATATCTAATAAAAGCGGGGGCACGGGGAGGTGGGGAACCAGGAAAGCGGGGAAACGGGAAAGCGGGGAAACGGGAAAGCGGGGAAACAGGAAAGTGGGGAAACGGGAAAGCGGGGAAACGGGAAAGCAGGGAAACGGGAAAGCAGGGAAACGGGACGCTCACCAAGAGCACGCGCGACCAAAGCAAGCGCACCCGAAGCCAGCGCACTCGGAGCCAGCGCACTTGGAGCCAGCGCACTTGGAGCCAGCGCACTTGGAGCCAGCGCACTTGGAGCCAGCGCACTTGGAGCCAGCGCACTTGGAGCCAGCGCACTCGGAGCTAGCGCATGTGTAGTGAGTCTAGCGATACCGAGTCGCCGCGAAGCGGCGACCGGGAGCGCTAGTTATTCATAAATCGTCATACATCAGCGGATTTCTGAAAAAATCAACAGTGTGGAGATGGCCACAATATTTGGTCGAGCGACCCCTCTACAAGCTTTACAATATCAAGGTGGATTGTGGTGTCTTCAAGGATTCCCTCATCGGAGCTGATTCCATAGCTGATGACGGTATAGAACACCTGGATCCTAGCGATGCATTTGAGTCCGAATCGATTAATTTACGGCAACATACTATGATATGGATTGCAGAGCACTGCCTGAATAATTTTCTCTTTATGTTTTTTATGTTCGATCATACTCTCTTGAATACCTCCATACACCCTTTGAAAGAGGTTAGGAAGACGTTTTCACGCCTCCATTACGGTAGTGTCCATGACACTACCACTGTGACTTTTTTAGCCGCGGCATGATGGGTCGGCTTATGGGATTTACAGACGGCAGCCGTATGCAGCTCTTCAGCAGCAGATAACGTTGTGCACCTTCCTGTCCGAGTTAACCTCGCGGGCTCTGAGGGACTTTCGGCGTGGATGCGCGAGGAGTTCAAGACGGATAATCGAGCCCGAGAGCCAATAATAAACGCTCACCCGACCGACGGGATGAGCCTGACTCAGGCATTCGGCATACGTGTCGGATGTCTGGATTGAAACAGCGCGGTCTTTTCGCTCGGGGGAGCTCTGCTATATCAATTCGAATGTGGAGCATTTCGTGTGAACATGGGCTGACTTGAGGAAGGAATCTGTATGATACAAGCTTTATTCCGACAGACTTCGCAATCCGCACATATGGTGTTCATCCGGCCCCAGACACTGTCTCCGATGCCCCTCCTCGAACTTTAATAGATTCTTCGAGTGGACGAACTCCGATAACGAACGCTGAAGCAGAGAAAAATGAGGTTTCTAGGCTCTCCTGTGATTTTTTCGATCGAAAATCTTTTTCAGCTCGCTCGGCATTTTGTACGGTCTCTCCCTTGAGCCGTCGTTGATCTTCTTGTCCTCAACTGGATTTAGGGGGATCGAATAAGATTGCTTTAGGTTCGTGATAAGCCACCGCCAACGATCGTCTTCGTGCTTGAAATCTGTTGAAATTCATGTTCTAGATTGCGTACTCACGGAAACACAGGAAAAGAGTATCGACGGCGCTCCGGTAGACATTGAAGAAACAAGAGGTGACCACGAAGGAAGCGATTCCGGTTGCCTACAGTTGAGAGTGAGCTTCGTACGAGCCTCTCCCGGAGCATAATTGGACGAGAGAAATTGGCGGCAATCCGCGAATTCGAGATCATGTGGATCGACCAATAATTGAAGATCTGACCGCTCCACTTACGACAACTGGAACGAAGACAGAGAAAAGTGGCGGGATCTTCAGCGGTCTTTGCAACGATTCTGCTTGGATCACGAAGTACAGGATCATAGCGGAAGTGGCCGAAGTCACGAATTTTGCGATGAAGATCACAAAATCTGTCAGTTTGGTGACGACGAGGGTCCGGAGGGCGTTGCTAACGATCAGAGAGAACGCCTTCCCAGCTGATCGGCAGAAGTTTTTACCATACATCGCAACCATGATAAATGCATTCTTGTTGATATACTTGAGAAACTTCTCCAGTATGAAGAAGCAACAAGAGCAGCATCTGGAATCGGGGAGAACACGTTTTCGTGAGACCGGAGGCTCCGGCTCAATGATCCTCGCCGTCGGACCGAGCTTCACTCACTTGGCAACCTTGTGAAGCCATGAAGAATCGCCACTTTTTTTCGTCTTATTCTGAAACCATTCTAGGACGATTCGTACGATCGATACGATGGACACGATCAGCGAGCCGAACGCGACCGTTCCCGTATGGTAGAGCGCCGCTGTGCCGAAAGAAGCCCCTACGGCCATACACTCGGTGCCCTATGAAGATTTTAGGGTCAGTTCTCCGAATTCAGTGCCAGCAGCTTTAAGACCTTGCTATCAGGACTCACGAAATGAGTTCAATTTCATTAATACTCCCACCGCGTCCTTGTGAGTCCAGAAGTATCTGGCGACTGCGTGAGCGACTACCAGGTAGCCGAAAGATCCGACGAACATAACAATCCAGAAGGAACAGAATATGTTGAACACGTGTACATAGACGCCGGTGCTAAGGGCTGTCAAAATGTGGACGCAAGCATCCTCGCTGGACAAAGCTCCCAATGCTTCTTTGCAGGTGTTCACAAAGTCATTATTCTTCTTTGCCACCTCAGATCGCAGCGTCGAAATCAAACTGCGATAGAAGATTCGTGATGAGTTGTTTCCGCGAAGGGAACTGAACAATTCCTCTCAAGTCTCAATCGGAAGCAAAACGGGGGAAAGCATGTCCGCGTATGATTTATACCCTCGAGATAGATATCCTTAGCGGCGGCATCGACTCACAAGATAATCGAGACCCCGAGAGCAACACCTGCGGCTTGGAGCAAGTATGGGAAGATTGGGAAGATTAAGAGCGTCGGCAAGTTGCTGATGGACCTGTGAGAACAGTCGACGAGTCAGTTCGGAAGCCAAGCTCCAACATTACCGGTCATCGTTTGCTCGATGGATCAGCGCGGATACAAACCTCGACGCCTGTTTCAGGAGAGCGACCGCAACTCTAATCCTCTTCCACAGGAACGCTAATAGCGCGAGCGAAACGAGGAAAAAAGTTCCCACAATGATGGAAACGGCCAAACGGAATTCGTATCGTGAAACGAGGTACACGGGATTGGAGATCCGTTGCACTTGGAAGCTATCTTGGTTGACGCCATGTATCGCGTAGGTCCAAAAGCCACAGAATACGGTCACTGAAAATAGATTTTTATAGACGTCAGTCTCCATTCGAGAGGTTTCCATCTCTAAACACATAATCGTTTGACGGCCATTGAGTCCCTCATGTCGCTCGAGCTATTTGAATTGAGAATCTCATTATTATAGTGTCGTAATCGTAACTTACGCGCTCCGAAAACAGCAGGCAAGAGAAGTGTCGTGACCCAGACGATGAAACCAGCGAAGTATCGCATCAATAGCATCCAGAGCAGAGCCAAGATCAACGAGACCCCGAGTCCTCTGAAAGACTCAATGTCTGGTGGACTTTGCGGTCAATTTCCATTCACTAGGAGCTCTCTCCGGAAACTTCCGATAAATCCACATAGGTAGAATTCGCCGTGACGATCTCAGCATTTCTAAAATAATGCTCGCAATCTGATGCAATCACGGCGGTGACAGAAACCGGTTCGCCCGTTCGGAGCGTCGTAAACTCGAACTTTACGGTGATGATTATCGCCACACCGTATGAGTCATTCTCCGGGGGAATGAACGCAGATCGAGGAACCATGGGTAAATCGCAACTTTGACGAAACTTCACTATGGCTCACTCACCCCAATATCAGAAGACGCGAATCCCAAAGGTCCAATACGATTTGGACAACAGTCTCGGGTTGTGCAAGCTCGGTGATTTCTCTGGAAAAATATCAGGGCTCCAAAGACATCCTCGATATAGAGCCACACACGGGTCGAACTATCGACATGAATGGAAGCGGGGATGATGTACCACTCACTGAGTCACGTTGTTCGACTTCATCTTGTGAAATTCCCAATCATACTGGGACAATTCGCCGGCGTGTTTTCTTTCTATGATTTTTTCGAGCTTCTGATTGAGATCGCGCAGGTCGGGAATGCAGAAGGACAGGACTGGCGCGAAAAAAAATCACTCACTTAGAGTGGGTGTTCCTCGGCGTGGAACGTTGGCAGGTGAATTAGGACTCACTTGTTCTCGTTGGGTAAACGTATTCGGCACATTGTTTCTCTTCGATTTGATTCTTCAATTCCGTGAGTTTTTGACCTCCACGCTTCGCTCGTATTCGCTCCGTGGCATTGACGAAGCAGGCCATGTATTGTACATCTGCCTCGTTAGTTGTCGTATTGAAATATATTAGCTCTCGGGGGCATTCCTCGACGCACCACTTCTCCCGGTCGTCTGAACCGATATTTGGCAGAAGTCCATCCATCTTGAACACATCCTTGAAATTTTTCAAGTACAAAAACTTTCTGAAAGAAGGAAGCCCGACCCCATTTTTGAAACTTTAGACCTCTACTCTCGAAGTCCGCTCGATTTATCCGCCACCGGGTCGAAATTGACGACCCTCGTGCTTACGAATACCAGGCTCACCCTCGACCCTCTGCGCCGCACCGACCGTCTTGTCCGTCCTTCACGATGTTCGCTATCAATTCTCTCACGTTGACTTGCGTGAATACTGCAAACGAGACCTCTGAGATTTCGCATCCAATCAGCGATCCAAATCATTTCCGAAAACGATTTCCGGCTCAGGTTCCCTCGGCGGAAAATTTCGCTCCACTCACCGATCATAGCGAGTGCGAGCCACGTCACCACTGTCAGGATGAAGAGTAGCAGGAAAACGACATCGGTACAGGATCTCCTGACCCTTGTTGGAATCTTCCGTTTCGGAGACGGCTCTCTCTTCCGCAGTGAGTCATCCGGCGATCGATGCCTGCGGGTTCCCGTAGAATGTCATTGGAGATTTCCCCACCTCAGAGGCCCGTAGAAGCATTCTCTCGTCCTGACAAATTGCAACCTGCGCCCGCGTCGTTCATCGCGGCGATCGTCCCGTCGATCTTGCCATCGGTGGTCCCGACGATCTTGCCATCGGTCGTCCAGTCGATCTACTCGGCGGCGATCATCCCTAAGATCGAGCCCGGACTCCTCACGTTGATCGTACCGGCGCGGGTGGTCATCGCGCCGTCTCTGGGGTCTTCTGGAAAGCGAGGGTTGGTGAGCCTCAGGCTGAAAACTTACATTGTGGAGTGCCGAAGAACAATGAGTATATTCCAGCGCGTTTCGTGGTCCAGAACGCCAGCTAGTGGATTGAGCTCCGTTCCGGAAAGGAACTGTTTTTGAAAGAATCCGACGCGGCTCTTTAACCACAATTACAGGAATAGCTATTCGTCGAAAGTCTCGATCTCTTGGGCTCATCCAATGGCTCCTCCAACGACCGGCGGCTGAATTCTGGTTCTCGTTCGAAGTCGCCCATCAACTGACCACAAGAGTGTCAACTCGACAACCGACGAGATCCGTGTCGCACACGGCACCGCATGGTAAACGGATCGTAAGGGTCATCCAAACAATCGAGCGAGTACTTCTCCTTGCCTTCCGAATTCCATTCGACTGTAGATCGAGCTATCCGATCATAACCATAACCTTCCTTCGCAGAGGGAAGGAGAACCTCCGATTGTCCGATTGTCTTCCATCAGTATGCACGAACCGATCGTAGGAGTCTTCATCCGAGTATGAGTCTCGACGTTTCCTCGGCATTCTCCCGAAGGGTCGCTCGCTTCACCGATCAGCCACGAGTATCCGTCGCTCACAAGAGAAGTTCACGTTTGCATGTACTTTCCGGGCAGGGCACTGCGCTGCTAGAGGCGACCGCTACCAGGGGCACGGAGGATATTCTCACCGATCCCTCTAAACAGTAAATGGCGACCCGCGGATTTAATACCCGTACTTAAGCCGATTCTGGAAGGCGTTAGGCCGCAGTGAGCCTTTGAGCGAGGCACAATACTTTGGGATTTAGAGTCGTTTGTGATCTTCTGGTGACAGGTGAGCTGACATCCTCGGCTAGCAAATCTTTTGCCTGACTCACGGCTTTCCCAAACGATCGACGACAAGGAGCTAAGATCATCACTCAGCTCGAATGCTCCGATGGAAAAACACGCCTTGTCGTCGTCAGGATATCAAGACGAACCTCAGATCCAAGCTCGCAAGATAAACACGGTGTCAATGGTCCGACAGACCAGAGCCATGCGTTAGGTCTTTCCATTGGTCGGAATCGGTGCGCCAAGGTGCATTATTGGCTCCGAAAAATAAAGCTAACGAGAAGTTGATAGCGTCTAGCGTTCATGATTATCACTGGATAGCTTCTAAGACCGAATCAGGCAGCTCAGCTACTGCTCTTTTGTCTACGGTCTTCGAGTGAGTCGGAAAGGCGATTTCCTATGAGTTTGAGGAAGGGTAAAGCTCTTCCATCGCTGGATGATCTCTCGGGTAATCCTCGAGCTCGTACTGAGATAATCAACCACGAACTATCTACCGGGAGCGATGAGGCGGCCTCGTAGTGGCTTAACTTGACCGCGAATCATCTCAGGAATACTTATCCGTGCGAGGTTGAATCGCGATCACCAATTTTTCCGAACATCCCGATTTTTCCGAATACGAATAATTTTTGTGGAAATCTGAACGAGCGTCCTGCGGGACTCCTTCCTGAATAGTATTGAATGGAGTCGGAACATCTTCCTCAACCTCGGTGGTCCCCCGATTCCCTCCAGAATTGCTCCCATGAGGTCCGTACTTTCGACCTCCCGCTTTCCGTTAGAGGACAGGTCGCGTGTCCTCTAAGGGACACCTCTCGACGAGACAGTGGAGACATCGCGTTCTCTTCCCGAACACCCCACGGAACCGGACGAAGGCGTCATGATCTACAAGCTCGCGCTCCCGTGCTCTGCGCTCTCACGACCTCGAAAGGCGTGAGCATGTCTTTTCAAAGTCGAAAATCGTCCCTCTGGAAGAAACCTTGTCGAATTCCACGACGACAACAACACGCGTCAGACGCACGCCATGGACGAGCGACTCATGTTTGACGCCTTTTCCGTCTATTGATTTGGCTGAAAGAAATACGCGTCGACAGTCGACTTCTCATCGCGTCCATCGAAAATTTCTACGGCGAGATCCCTGACCGTCAGGGCGCAAGATTTCCAGCGCAAAGGGGGTTCCACGCTCGCCGTTCCTGTCCACGGACGGCGCGAACCCTTCGAGGGAAATCGTGTTCCTCCTGACGTCGACTAAATGAATTTTCCTCTCCTGTCAGAGCAAAGAACACTAACGAGAAGCCCGGAGAGTTCAAAGCGTGGCGCGCAGGGTGCTCTCACCCCATTGTTTCGGGGGAAGCGGGAGCTCGGAGCAGAGTAGCAGCGGAGGCAGCATTAAGAGCAGCAGCACCACCCTCCTTCTCTAACGTGGCAGCCTACTCAGAGCAGTAGCAGCAGCAGCCGCCGCTGTTCGTCCTATGCTGCAGCAGCAGCCGCAGTTAGTTTTAGAGCGGCCCAACCCAAAATAACACCGATGGAGAGACTCCGGCTGCGCCCGTGACGTCTGCCGAGGTGAGTTCTCTCAGACCGAGTCGTGATCGGAGCCCGGAAAGCCGAGTCCGGATGCCATCGATATCATGAATGCTCGCCGCTGCGGCACTCCGGAGCCTTGCGGCTACAGCCACGCGCAATAGCCTCTACAGCTGAAGGCCTACGGTAAATGCTGAACTCCGCTACCCCGCTACCGTCTCCGTCGTCCGTATCCGCTGTACATGGCGCTTCGCGCACATTGAGACACCGTCGTCGGCGTGTGGAGTGAAACCAACACTGTTAGCGACGTCGTCGATAACAAGAGAAGAACTATATTTAGTGCTGGAGCGCGTCATTCGGAATGTGAGGATGCAGCCTTCCCGTTGAACGCTGTTTCTGATCAGGAGGCTCTTTGGATTGTTTGCAAATAAGCATGCTCTATGTAAGCAAGCGTTCAGCGTCGGAGCGCCTGTTGTCTTTCGTCGCTTCGTCAGACGACACCATTTCGCGGAATGCGGCGATGCGCTTTCTCCATCTCGGCGAATCTCGGTGGAACGGATGAAACAATTCGTTCGCTGTTGATAACACGACGGATTCCTCATCGACTCAACATTGTATCTATCCAACTGTCGGCTTGTCCGAAAACATCAGTCAACTTGATTCTGCTTGACGAATAGCTCGCATCAGTGACGGTGAGGTGCCGGCAGGTTCAGCCTCGATCGAGACGAGTTCACGCGTTCTTCGATTCTGTCTACCCGGAGCCGTTCCGATATGTTCCAGGTCCGTCTGCACACACACGCAGGATAGCTAGTCAGACATAAATGGAGAAGGACATTGAAAAGGACGTCAGTGTCCTCTCCGGACTATTTAGTTATATCATCACAGACCTCAAGGTTCGTACAATGATTCTTACGTGTGATTCAGAAGCGTACAGCTCTCAGGTGCGATAAGTGATTGAGTTCCGGCAAGCCCCCGGACGATTTAGTTTCTGCATCATTGACCGCACTTCAATCCCGCGTCGATTGGCGAGGTGCTTAATAGATGCAAACGGTTTCGTATCGGCAATCGTTCACTCGTGGAACTGTTGCCGGACCTGATTCCCTAGGGAAGCTGTCGAGTGCCTTCGAATCATTTCCGCCATAAAACTGTTTTCTTTTCGATTGAATTCCAGGGTAGCACTCCAATATGGGAAGACTTTCTCTTGAAAACGGGCAAACTTCACACGCAACTCAAGTGAGTTTAATTTAGGCGATATAGCCACACGAGGATTGCTCCACCGCCCTCCCCGTCTATCCGGAAGACCACGAGAGCTCTTCCACTCTTCAACGACTCGAGCAGAACACCAGTGGGGCCTCCCAGCGTCAGAGAATTCCGTATCGCGAACTCAGTGAGATCTAAACAAACGACTGGTGGTCTGCCTGGTCCGTCTCAATACTGGATCGGCGATGAAATTAAAGCCATCAAGAGCAGTTCCGAAGTTTTTCCGATACTTGAATACATCCTCGGTCCTTCCCCGATCATTCTCCCTTTCATTATCCACGAGACTCGAAAAGCACTCTCATTCGGGGATCCAACACCACTGATGGACATCCTCTCCGGCTTGTCGGTTCATCCATATCGCTTGTGTCTGAATGTCGAATTCCTAAGCGAAACTCTATCTTGTCAGGGTCACAATGAGTTGCTTGGGCGCCTTCGTGGAAGCCCTGCAAAGAATCGCCGACATGGCGACCACTGCCCAGGGAGCAACCCGGGACGTCGGGAAGGCTCTGACCCGGCTCTGTCTTCGCCACCGGGCTTTCGAAACGAGGTAATTATTTCTCTGGTGTCATCGGGCTGATTTCACCGACTTCCCACAGTTATGCCGCATCGATCTCCGGAGGCTACCGGAGCGCCGGCAACACCCGAGAGGTCATTCGCCCCCGTTCGGATAAACAATGTAAATTATGGACGGGCCCTACTCCCGTGTCGCATCGAACGCTTCCCGACGTTTACGACTGTTCGTCTGAGAAAAGCCGCACCAAACGAGGGAAAGAATGTGATTAGGCCGAGAGATTTGGCGTTTGATTTATCGGCGATTCCAGAGCCATAGTCTCCTATTCGAAACTGACGGGGAATATATACGCCTTACAAAAAAAAGAGAGATAATAATCTCGCGCGGAAGTGTCGGACGAGTCGAACTTCGGACCACTTGTGAATTACAGTGCTTCTCTGGGCTGGATAGTTCGAGATCGATATTGATTCCTCGCTGAGTCTCTTCCTCCGAGCCCCTCCGATTCGCAGCACATCGCTGCAACGAGCTATCGACTGACGCTAATGATGTAAATTCTTCTCAGATTGAAATCCTTGATCGAAGCTTTGCAAGATTCTCTCATCATTCCGATGACGGATAAAATCGAAGATTGGAAAAGGATAACAACGCAGATTGACAGGACTCACAGTAAAGGTGAGAGCAACCTGTTCCGCGCATTCCAATCTCCACTCAGCCCCTCTCTCATCTTGCCGAATCTCTCTCGCATCGAGGAGGTTTTCGGATGCGGGGGCGGGATGCCCGTTCTCCATAGTTTCTGCGAGAGTGCTTGCCTCGGTATCCCGATCGTCTTACTGAAGAGATTCCCCCATTCACAGAGTTCAAACGCGCGCGGTCCGAGTTGAAGAAGAAAAACACAGACACCTTGCGTCTCCGTAAAAAAGTCAAACGCGCCAGTTCCGGAGCCATGGGTGGAGGATCAGAATTGGTGCAAAAGTGCCTCAACCACGCCATGCAGGATATCCATGACGACTACATTCTATTAGAGGAAACTCAGAAACAAGCAGTTCGGAGAGCTCTGATTGAACAGCGTCGACGATATTGTGCCTTCGTAGGCTGTATGAAGCCAGTCATGGTGAGTTCTGGAATCGGACAGGATACTTAAGCTCCGATGAGCTTCGTTGATGGGATTCATTCGTCTCAACAAATGTTCATTGGATTTTCCCCCAGGACGAGGAAACCCACCTCTTAGAGGAGGTCGGTCATCTCGAGGAAGTAATGGACTCGTTGTGTAAGCTCACCGCCAATCCAGAGCGGCTCCCGTCCGCTTCGGAGCAAGTTATTGAGGATGCTAAAGTTGGATACAACCTCATGAGTGAAAGCATCTACGGTTACCATGTACGTCGATGGAGTTCTTCCTCCCCCCTCTGCCGGGTCTGAGCGAACCGCTTTCGCGAATTACATTGATCATGGATATTTGAGTTGACAGTGTCGGGGTGAGAGCTTGTTTTTATCCGTCCCCCAGAGTCCACCGAGTTCTCCGGGCAGCTCATTAGGCTCTCGGAAATCTTCAATGTGTTCAATATCGTCGGAATCCAACTCGACCGATCTCTACGGATCTCAGCGCGGACGCTCGTTGTCGCAACCTCCCCCACTTCAGGTTTCTCGACTCTGTAGCGTCTCGAGTCAAGACTCAGGCTTCAATTCTCACGATGGTGGAGTTCGGAAAACGGCGCAACGACTCGAGAGCCTTTTTCAGAGGCAGAATTCCGACGAGGGAGCGTCTGTTGCGAACCCCATTTACGATTCTCGTCCTACTGACACTCCGCCCCATTTGCCCCGACGAAACAACAGCCTGCCCTCAAACAGTCTCTTCGACCAGAGTGCAGCTTCCACACCCTCAGGAAGTCAGCCGTCTTGTCGTTCAGAGCCGCAATCTCCACAGATGGCCCGTGCGGGCTTCTCGGTCACGCAATCGACACCTGACAACGGTACGCAGAGCGAACACTCTGCCCAGAAGGCCGGAGTATTGGCTCGAGTACAGCCTCTGGCAGAACAGATTCGATGTCCTCGTTACGAACTCATCGTTGTCATCCTCTTTCAGAAAGCACAAAACCTGTGTTTTTGTCACGCACTCCTTCACACATGAGTACACTGCCAGTCCGGGGGCGGGACAAATCGAGGAAAATTCCGCCAGTGCCTCCAGTGCGACGCACTCCCCCAACGTCAACACTGAATGTTTCTCTCCAATTGAAACAGCTAGATGATACGAAATACGACAGGTATGTCCGCCCACGCTCCGATTGAGCTTTCTCCCTTGCCGATTTTGAACTCCGACGGATTTTCTCCCGCCGGAGGTCTCCGTATGCGATGACCGCTGAGCATGGAAACACCGAGAACCCCGTGCGCACCTTTTTTAATCTGCGATTCTTGCAGCACTATTCCCTCAACCTCCTCCACAATCCCCATTCGTGATACAAAGGATAAGTCTCCGGAACTGCCACTGCCTTCACCCCCGGCGGAGCTTTTGTCACCGTCCGAGGAGAATTCAATTTACGGCAGGATGATCAAGAGCTGTCACGCTACACTGGAGAGAAGTCAGAAACATCAAGAACCGACGAATTACCACGAGGAACACAATGCTTTCCTGGGTGGCATCTGCTCGAAAATCAACGAGAAGTTCGGCGGCGACTCCACTTCTAATCACAACATATACGGTCAGTTCAAGAGCGCGGATGCTCCTCGTAGGATTCTTGCCTCTCAGTAGATAGATATCCTCTCAGATCTGGGAAATCGATGAAACGACTGGACGTTCTCTTGTTTTCTCCAGGAACGTTCGGGAAAGGCAAGAAGAACCCGTATAGGCGATCAGAAAGTCAGGAGTCAGAGGAGCAGGTCAAGTCTGAGGTTCATGAACCGGTGAAGGACAAGCCTGTCCAGAAGAACAGTAAAATTTACAAATGTGCCTCATCCGACGACATTATAAGCGGTGGAGCGAATAGATGGGGCGCTGCCGAGGAGAATCTCTACGAGCCTATCAATAAGGAGCTAAATGGTAGGCTGTAGCGGAGGATGGGAGGGAATCGCGATCGATAAGCGTGATAGATGCACCTTCAATCTTTCCCTTTTCCGTTCAGTCGAGAACGAACGCTCGCCTTCATCCTCATGAATCATTCGGTATTTTTATTCTTTCCAGAGTCGATTTATGGAGGAAGTCCATTTGGGGTGACAATCGCCATCTCTACAAATGATATCTACGGTTCGACCAGTCACCAACTTGCTGCTTCTGTCGGAAGACCTAGCGGAGCTCCACCCGCGCCCCCAGAGAGGCGAACTCCGCAACGGAGAGCTCAGTCTTTCAGTAATGATCTCTACGGCACGATCGAGGACGATCCTCCCCCGTCTTCCAGGTGAGTAATTTTGCTTGCTCCACCGACACCGTATCCTCGATCGAACTCCAAGGTCGACACACCGAATGCTACCCTTCGATTCATTTCTCAGATCTAAGGTGCAGCAGGTTAAGGAAACGTTCGAACATCTTGGCGAGTCTCTATACGGACGAATCTCACAGTCGGCTTCAACTTCTCGTTGCACATCGCCTTCGCGACAGAATCCCTTCCCGAACAAGCTTTCCATGTACCAGCCGCAGGATCAGCAGAGTACCAGTGGCGTGGTACACCACCCCTCTCAGTTCAGTATATACGCGACCAAGAACGAAGTTCTTACGTAAGTCCTCTCCAGATCTTCTGTCGCCATACCCACTTGGCGGGATTATCCCTCCTGGATTCTACGACGGACAATCTGAACAGCAAGGGAAGTTCATCCGGAACTTGATCGCGAGTATTCCTTTACGATACAGGCCCGGAGTCCCGGTTTCGATTCCCAAGGTTCCGACAGATCTGTCGAAGAAACGATTCATGCAGCAGCTCAACGAGAAATTGGCTCAAGGAACGAACACGCAAGCAAGCTCCATTTATGGCACGATTCGAAACTGCAACACAGCTACAATCAACAAAGGTGAACTCATCGACGGAAAAAAATGATCTCTTCCGCCATCAGCGCAAGACTTTCATTTCTCAAGTATTTTCAAGAGCCAGCTAGATACGCTTATATAGTGTCAGCCATCCCAAAATATACATCATGCAAGATATCCTTCAGAGGCGCCCCGATGGAATCCAATTATCGAAGCGAAGTACATGTAATGAGCTTCTTTGCAGGCCGACGCTGTAGTTCGGAAACTCGTCAAAACGGTCAACGTATCTACGGCTATATCGGAGCGCCTGAAGCTGACGTTTCTCCAGCCGCTTCAAGAGTTCAGGAATGGCTGAGTGGTCGGCCCCCTGTCAAAGATCTTGGGGAGTGTAAACGCAGCGTGCTCGACCAGATCAGGTGATTTTTCCTTGGTTTTCCCTCGCGAGAAATTGCTCCTGGACTGCTACGGCCTCGAGCATTACGAGAATTCCAATTAAGGGTTGCCCACATGAATCATTTCTCCGTCCTATTCCAGAAGAGGAGGCAAAGGCGCTACCGGTGGGCCGCCAAGACTGTGACCTAGTGAAGGCTCAGGGAATTTTTTCTTCCTCATGTTCATCTGGACTATTTAGGCAACAATTTAATATTCTACCCCAATACGTGCGTCAGAGCCGCACGTAGCCGAGCACGCTGGCGACAGAGACGAAAGCAATGAGCGGGCACACAGGAGAATGAACTGCGAGAAGAAGGACAAGGAGACCATCGAGAGTGATGAATGTTGTCTGCACCACATAGAAGCGCGATAGGACTCATTGCCATGTCGCAACCGAGGCGAGCCCGCCAAATCGTATCTAGTCTGATTTAGTCCGAGCCAGCAAAGCAGCATCCAAATGTCAGAGAAAGGGCGGTGGGAGCCCCACAGCGACAGCTCCTGTACCCTCACAGATCCCCTATCTAATTCACCGTGCTGGAAAGGAGCGGAACACCTACCGCTTGAGCCTGATGTCCACAAATGGACGCCCTGAGCCCATTTGCAGTCGGTTCCTACCGGAATGCCGATCGCCCGTCAGACTCTTGTAGATTGACCTGGAAATCAGTGATGACGAACGATGGGATGGAAAGATGAAGTACCGATGTCCCGAGAGGCTTCCCCTAATGTATATCAGAGCTGGACATTGAGTGGTCAGCCATCAGCTCTCCACTGGGGAGATAGACCTCTTCGCATGGAGAATGCCGTGTGTACAATAGCAGAGTGAAAGAGGAGAACAGAGTCGTAGCTCGCGAAAGAGTCTATGTAAGTGAAGAGAGAGTAGGTGTATTGGGAATGACAAGAGTCCCCTCGATATAAAGGAACATAATCAGATTGATTTATTATATTATATAATTAATATTTATCTTCATTATTATTGATTATTATATTATGATTACCACAACACAAGTGTGAGACCCGATCGCCAGTTGTCTACGAAACACGCGTAAATGTATCCCACGGATGATCTCCCGTCGCCGAAAGGAGCCATTCCCGCGGTATCGAGCGCGGAAGCGTGTCTCTCGAGCAATACGGACCCCTCAAATTTTAACTGTACAAATCATAATTTTCACAGCCATAAACGACACCTCTGCGGAACAATCAACGAATAAAACAATCATTCGCTCGTATAATCAGGTACTTCATCGACACGCGCGCCTAATCCATTCATGTGCTCATCCATTCAACCAGCCAATCCACAGCTTCCGTCGCTCCACCAATGAAAATTCGTGATGTAAGGGGTGTGAGTTACCCCGTCAACAACAGATCGAAACGCTTGCCGTTGAATGGAGTGTATGTTTGGAGCGGCGGCGGCATTTTCTAAAACCATCCGCTTCATGAAAGAACCGTAATTTCCGCAACAACAATCGAGACGATACAACAGGAGACCTTGTATCCACGTGAACCCACGAGAGGGAGCATGCACAGACATTCAGTTTATAGTCGATACGCGACGATTCGGAGCAAGGAGAAAAGTCTGTGAATAAAAAAAAATATTTTTACCCACGACCACACAGCCCGATCCTTACGTCTGCGACAGGGGATCTCTTTCGAAGCCTCGCGTGGTCTCCGAATATATGTATGCACTGGAGGCGTTTTCGGGAGAGCACGTGAGCTCCACCCGTATCCGTCTGTGAACTGAAGAGGATGTCATTTTCGGGGAAGCATTGTCGGAGGCATGCTCTCTATCGTTGTCAGTCGCTTGTCGCATCCAGGAAGACAAGTGGATCAGTTGCCTCGAGTCCGAGCTGTAGGCTGCAAATACGCCGGCCTCTTCTCGCGACTCATCATGCTTCACAAATAATTCGCATCGCCTAATGCACGAAGGAAACTTTCTCGATATTCTCCGATGTCCCTAGTTTTTTTCTTTCTTTTCATTTTTCTTGCCTTACCCAAATCCATCTTCCGTCTCAAGAACGGATTTTTTTTCCTAGATTCTTCCTGGCTTTTCTCTCCACAAAACTCCCCTCGTTTGAACGACCGAGCGGTCGACTGTCGGGCTTCCAGGATGTGAGATCGATTAAGGGAATGCGTTTGTTCTTGGCAACGAGCGGCCGACTGTCCTGGTCTTTCATAATGTTCCGCGCAGCGCCGTGCTTGCAGAGGAGTCCTGCTAGTCCGCAGCTTTCGTCGGTGTCGTTGTAGTTTAGTTTTTGAATGAACTTGTCAAGCGAGCTGTTGCTGAATAGGAGACACGCGGCAAGACACGCGGACAGACCAGCGGTCTGGTCAGGCTAGCTGGCACGCTTCCAAGCTGCACGTTTCCCTGACAACGTACCCTCTCCATGGAGAGCCCTCTTCCTCTTTTCGGGATTCAAACTCTTCTTCTGTCAAGGCCCGTAGAGCTCTGCACAGCCACACATCTAGCCACCCCACATCTGTGATTCGACGGCGAACGAGCACGCTAGCACGACATGACAGTGTCAGCAAGTGTTGCAGAGTGATGTGCAGAATCTGCACTCACCAGAGTTCGCCGATGACACCTTAGTCCTTGTTGTGAGCCGCTCTCCGATTTTCGACACGGTGCTCAACTCTTTACCATGAGATCCGAACGGCCATGCCCGGTGCAAACCCCAACCGATAGTGCGTCGACGAACGGCGAATCGTCGCCGTCGTGGGCTTCGTGCTCGTCGACACCCTCATTCTCAACAGGTGGATTGGACTTCGACTTCAATCAAAAGTGCACAGTTAGTGAGGAATCGCTACAGTTCAGATCATCGTCGTCCGATCAGCTGAGCTCCTCAGAACACCACCTCGGCCGGTCGACTCGTGCAAAAGGGTCGCGCTCATCTTACGACGGAGAGTTGGGAGTTGCACCACCGTCGAGTCCAGACAACGTAGGTCAGACGACGAGCAATACGCCAACGTCGATCACGACGACCGCAGTTTCGATAAATCGATTTACGCATTTACTCAGGCGTGCTGAAAGCGTCGCTCCGCCGGCGCACGCTCAATTTCTCAGGAAGGTGAGTGTCCCAACATGCAAATCGAACCGATTGCACGCGCTGACAGCGAGCCGAAAAAAGTTTGCGTCATCGAGACCCCCCAGGCTGGCTGGCTGGCTGGCTGGCTGGCCAGCGAGCGAACAGGCGCACGCCGTGCAACATGTGTCAGTCGATCCCCGAACGAACCCGAAGTGACAGCGCTCGCACTCCGGTCTCCAACCCCAGACAGATCTATCGAGTAGTTTGCGGGCTCAAACGCGTCGATCGTGGCATTGCTTGGACGTGGAAGCCCAAAAAATCGAATTTTAACTAGTTTCGATGCGTATCCGGACTCGTTCCATTTCGTCGAGAGGACTCGACACGGTGTGCTGCGTCACAAGCAACGTCCCCCGCGCCGTGTCCTGGACATTTCCATCCAAATTGATACTGCAGAGGACACTTTTCCCAGTAGCAATTGTAAGAACAGCTCGCATTTGAATTGCTTGTATCGCTGGAGTTGGCGAGAGAAGGATGTGCCGCTATGGCGCGGATGGGCGAATGACGTCATCGCGATGTCCTCATAGCCTGGTCGCTCCGCATCGGAATCAAGGACGCCCTCGCGCTTCTTAGGCCTTGGAAGGCCGAAGCACGGAGCATCGAGCTTGCCAGCCAGCCAACCAGCCAGTCTGCTTGCTTGCCTGCCTGGCTGCTGCTGCTGCCGTCGCCGCCGCCACCGCGAGAGGAGGATCTCGCACGAAGGAAGCGAAGGAAGGAAGAACTCACAAGAGGGAGCCCTAGAGCCAACCTCTGAAGCAGCCTGCAACCAAACAAGCAACTCTCGAACTTACTTCGTGAAACTCAATTGTGTTCTCTTTGTCTTTTTGCAGCCCGTATCCAAAACGAAAAGTGCCGATATCGCATGCGATGAGCCTAGGAAGAAAACGCTGTAAGTACCTAAACTGGACATCCGATCCCCCTCAGCATCCTGACACTTAGTCGAACAGTCCGTCACTCTACCACCGTGTGACAGTCGTCAAACGATCGACTAACCGAATCCAGTGACCGAATTAGCCTGTTTTCGTCGGTCGCTCCCAATCTCTACCCTGACCGATCGGAACGTATTGATTCAGGCAGCAGGATAAGCTCGCCACCAGATCGTTTGCGAATTCTCTTGTTCATCCGCTCGTTCAATCGCCCGCCTGCTAGCTCACCCGACAAACTCACCCGTTCGGAGCTCCCAGCAAGCTTTGAGGCAATCGTCCCGGAACGATAGAAGATCTCCCTGACACCAAATACACTCATTGTACAAGGCTTGCAGCCACCACAATCCTTTGTCCCTCTAGATGCGACACCTGTCTCTGCGCACCCTAGGCCCTGTCGATGAGATTCCCCGTCATAATCGTCCGCGAAAGACGTAGAAAACATCATGGTGTGTTTCCCGATGAGCGGAGAGAGACTCTGTCGACCCCATGAGTCGTTTCTCAGTGAGGTACATGGAGAAATCGGTTGTGGGTAGTTGCGAATGTCGACCAATTGAGAAACCTCCGTAGCCCATCTCGCACTTCGCCCTCGATGTCGATGGACATCTCGCTTAGTGGACGATCGGTGCGATCGAGATTGCAGAAGCATTACGATCCGCTCGTCCAGGCAGAAAAAGTTCGACCGGGCTTCATGACCCGTCACGGATCTCCCTTATGTGAAACCAGCTTACCCTTCGCTTCTGTTGTTCTCGTCGCTGTGAATGTATGACAGTGTTCGATAGCTGAGAAGTCGCTCCTCAATTATTTTGATTTGTGATTAGCCCATTCGAGATGCGGATTTGATGTCGCTGCTCCTCGATTTTCCCAGCACCGAGTATGAGATCCCCCTCATCTCAGACATCATCTGTTGCGGTCTCCGTGCATTCAGAATAATGATTGGTGATAGGGAATAGTTATAGTCCCCTCCGGAGGGATTAGTCGAGCTTCCGGCTTCGCGAAAGCGCGCCCCACGCTTGGCTCCAATGTCTTACGCTCTCCTGAATAAATATCCCGTTTGATAGCCCTGCCCACTTGCGGGAGGACCGTTGTTTAATCTGTGCTGCTGCTGCCCCCATTCCCATATGGAGGCGACACATCCACCTCCTTCAGTGGCGATCCAGGCAATCTGTTCTTGTGCACACAGCCGTCCTCGAGTAGGACATGGTCGCTGATAATTGACAACTTCCCCGTTATGATTAACGATCTTTGATGTAACACACTTATCGATGTCGCGTCGGATTCTTTTGGAACTGAACTTCACCTCCCTGCTCGCTAGCCTGCTCCCGAATATCTCCCATTAGTGAATAGCGATGCTCTCGTTCCCGTGACTCTTCCACCGTGGGTTTGATCACACTTTTTCGTCGAACAACCTGCACCCGTTTTCGCCGTCGGTCGACCGTTGCACGCAGCACGAGCGAGGCATGCAAGGGCTTGCTTGCCGTTGATCTCGGCTGGACAGGAGCAGGACGGCGGGTCTGCGGGGCGGATGGTTAGGTGGGTGTTGTGTGAGTGGGTGTCCTATTTCTGGCCTCCATCACCCCCTCTTCTCACTCAGATGGATATATCGTTTTACCTCCTCTCCGAAAACCTCAAAGCTCGCGCCTCGACCAAGCGGTGGCGTCCTCCTCTAAATTGGGCAACTGCCGTCACCAGGAACGTTTATGCCGGCCATTAGGGCGAACTTCGTCATTGGCCAAAGCGCGGCGGCGTTCTCCCGCAGGTGGCGACTTCCGTCACGTGTAGGCCTCATCAAGCTTTCGCACCAGTAACGAAGTTTAATACTATTCCGTTCAGAAGCAATGTCGTCAACGGGACCACCAGCGAAGTCCAGCGTCACTGTGAGCAGCTTTCATCCGTTCAAGTACGTCCGTCTCTTGCAACAACCATGGCTGCGCTCTTCGCTATCGATTCCTTAGCGGGCTGCTGAATCTTCGTCGACACCATCGGATTCATTGCCATCATCATTCATCATCCACCGAGGCACCGGAATCTTCGACGAGGACATCATCGACGTAAACTGTTGTCGTTTGACGAGCGTACTTGCCACGAGCAGAACAGGCGAAGCGTCTCGACGCTGGAGTCGCCTCGGTTTCGGGCACCGGTTACGCCGACTCCTTCGCCATAAACTTCTCTCTGACGTAAGATGACAGACAAGAGGAGATGGCAACGCCGATCCAAGTCACAGACCATTGGATCAGAACGGATGATGGCGCTGCTGTGAGCTGCCCTCCTGACCAGGTAATAAACTGCAAAGTTGCCCGCGCGCTATCACCCGCCCATTCCGTCTATTAGCCCTCCCGCGCGAGTGTCTGTCCGGCTGCCTGACTGACGACGACGACGACAACCGCTCCCGTTGAAGCGAGGGCGGTCGCGCTCAACTCTGTCGCAAGGAACAAGCATTTGAGGCGGTGACTTCGACGGCGACGTTCTCATGTTCCTCACTTGGGCGGTCGGTGACGGACGCGGCTGCTTCGGAACTCCGTGCGGGTTTCCACCTCGCTCCATCTCCAATTGACGAGGTCCACCGCTCCGATGATAACGGACCTGAGCTCGCCCGCCAGCTCGTTCGCCCGCTCGTGCCGGTTCTCTATGAATAGCACCAGCTTAAAGGAGCTCCATATCGAACGGATCTGATCCATCGAGCTGACTCCTGCGACCCCACGCGTGGTGTCCTGACCGAGATCGACGCAGTCCGAGAACGGAACGGAGGGACGTACTGTCGGACGGACGGGCGAACAGACAGACACCGTCGCCATACTTACAGTCTTTCACATACAGCTTCGCACTCTCGCTCACGACAACAGTTCGACAACAGACAGAAGAATGCCATAAGCAGTGAAGCAGACATCGCTGGTCTACGCTCCGCAGTCGATCCGAAGTCAGTCAGTCAGTGAGTCAGTCAGTCAGTCAGTCGCCGAGTGAGACTGCCGCAGTCTGTGCGGGAAAAACCGTCCTACGGGACTGCCGGCACCAAGGACACGATTCCCAGGGAGAGCATCTGATGCGGACCGCGTGTCGGTGTTGTCGCAGCCGCAGTTTCACCGAATCCGTTAGAGCCGTTCATTGGATTGATTCTCATTCATCGGGCTGGACGAATATCGAGGAATAGACGGACCAAGAGAGCAAGGAGCGAACGGATTCGCAGAGCGATGTTCAATTGGCGTCGCAACAGCCTAGTGAAGGGTTTCCTGGAATCGAAGGATGATCAAGAATTGCCCGCCACGAATCCCATTGCTGGAAGAACTCGGCAGAGAAGCCTGAGTGTCTCGGTTGACTCGTCGAAACCGCCCCTGACGCCTCAAAGGTTCGCATCGTTCCTAAACTCCACTCACAAGTCAATTGGTCAATCAGTCAGTCAGTCGGTCGGTCAATCAATCAGAGGCACTGACAGCTGAACCGTCTGTCTGCTTCGTGTTTGTTAGTGATAGGAGTGAAGAATAATTTTTCGATATTCCTCCTAAAGCCGAAGAGTACGGTGAGACTGAGAAGCCGATCGGAATTAAGAGCATCCCGTAGATTCTCCGATGCAGCTCGTTAGGCGTCTTAATCGACTACTTTTGCCGCGAACGAGCGGATATCGAGCGAGGATCGAACGAACGAGCAAACGACCGACCCGATGAACAATGTTACCACTCATTGCTATTCCTGGTTGGAGACCTCTCTAAGTGCGGCCCTGTTGGATCACGCAGTTTCTATTGGGATCGGTGTCTTTCGCTCGTTGCTATTGCTAGTTCGGGTGCTGCTGCTGCTACTGCTGCTCATCTTCTCTCTATATGTCGCACGATGCTGCTCTTTTTCTGAGCACCGGTCGACGACAGTGTCGATGAGGATGGTCGGATAGGCGCTATTACTCCCGCTCTATACCTCCGCAGAAATACCCTGGAATTTCCATTCACGCTCTATTTTCTTGACCACTTCGATTTGAAAGACTACCGTCATTACTCGTAGTAATGCAGAGGCCACTGATGACGTTCCTCAAGGCGACCCGAGTGGTAGTTTCAATGGCAGCAGCAGCAGTAGTCGTTGTTACGCCACGTGAAGACGACGTTGAGTGGATCCGAGTAGAAGCTTAGTTCGCCCACCCGTTCGCCTCATTTGCCTTCAAGTCGCTCGAGATGTCTTTGTGGAAGCGTCTGGATGCCTGCGTCAAAAATGCAAATCGACATGCTCGTGGCCGATCCAATGCATTAACAGTCGTCTGAAGCGAGACATACTGCTGAGACAACTACGGCAGCGGTAAAAGCTTCAGCACTACGAGTAGAAGAGACGCTATAAACGAGACAGGCGACCTCATTATCCATGCATATAGCGAACGAGGCGAACGATGAACGGTGGCGAGATCGACGATTTTCACAGAGAGGAACTCCGACCTGTCTTGAGGTCGCATTTTCGACTGGAATCTGGGTGCCGAGCCGATTCTTAGAATCCACGCAGCAGCATCGTGAATGAATGAAACTCATCGGCAGCGAATCCATGCTTACGATCGTGTTCCGATCTGCATAATACTACGAGATGATCTATCGAGATCGAATCGGTTATCCCGGGCTCGTGACTAGACAAATACTCCCCTGCGGTCATGAGTAACTCCGCTGCTCCGTCTAATCGGACGATGAACACTCGTTTATTCATGACCAACACTATCGTTATTCCCCCGACCCGATCGCTTCTTGCTCGTTTTCTCTTGTCTCGGTTTTTCGTTTGCTTCAAATCTCTAGGGTCCGTTGCCGACGCACTGACCCGCTCGGGTCGAGTGGTTCACGAATCTCCGGGAGTTCGAGGAGGTTTCCCATTCCTTCAAAGAGAGCATTGACGATTTGAGGGCTTGCTGCTGCTGCTGCTGATCGACGAACGGAACGAATCCTTGCAGTCATCTCTCGTATGCATCGGCTCCTGCTTCGGCGTCAGCTTCCACGCGACGAACTTGTGTGTGTCTGAGTGCGAGCACCGCGAGCCGGTAGGCTACGGGCGAATAGATCCTCTGATGGTTTATCTCCTCTAATTTCAGGGCTCAAGACGTACGACTGCGTTTGGGATTTCTGCGGCGAAGGAATACCGATACCTCAATCCGGCCTCCTCCAGAAGAGGCGCAAAAATGGGCACAGTCCTTTGTTGAACTAACGAATTCGAAATGTAAGCTCACGCTCCTCCTCGAAAGATATAAACTGGAATAAGCCCGGAACGGCGTTGCTCGCGGAGTCTTCCGCAGCAGAGCGTCTCTCGCTCTCGTAGATGGTAATACTGATGGTAATGTACGTCGTCGATTCACAGATGGCTTGGCACTGTTCCGTGCTTTTCTCTCACGCGAGTTTAGCGAGGAAAATATCGACTTTTGGCTCGCAGTTGAAGAATACAAGAAAAGTCGGCCCCACAAACTGGCGTCCAAAGCCCGGAGAATATACGAGGACTTTGTTGCAGTGCAAGCACCAAAAGAAGTCAATCTTGAAGCGTCAACGAGAAATGCCATACAGGTGGGTGGAGCGGTATTCCATTAGTTTTGGTTCGGGCTTTGCAAATGTTCCGAGCAAAAGGGTCTCTATATCGATGCTAGGAACGATTTCGACCGGTCGGGATTTCTTTTCTTCCGTCTTGAGCCGAGGCGATGGCAACACACTGGAGACCGCGCTCTCGCTCGCGCAATGTGGAGTTCTGTACGTTGCCTCGGCCCCTTCGACCGCGATCCACGATACGGAGAGCGAGCTCCGGAGCGGGAGAGATCAGTTGTATCCAGCGAGCAGTTGTCTTTTCGAGCGTTACACGTCAATAAACTGTTTCGGTAGTCGGCGTCGTCGTCTAGTGCGGCTGTGTCAGCGTATGACGAGTGTCATTCTATTTCAGGAGAACCTCGACAACGTTGACGTGCACATGTTCGATCAAGCGCAGCGCAGGGTCCAGGGCTTGATGGAACAGGACGCGTACATTCGCTTCCTACAATGTGATCTCTACCAGGACCTGCTGAAACAGTGAGAGGGACTTTAGCTTCCCAACAGTTGAACGAAGTGGAGAAGAAGAATTCCTATGTGCACTGACGACTTGGTTTTGCCTGACCGACTTCATTCACGCTCCGCGAGTCGCCGACTTCCAACTTTAGACCGGATGGAAACAATGCGCATGAACTGAGCGAGCTCTATCCGGAATCGAACTCTGGGTTGTTGTTAGTACAGACGAGCCCCCTCGGATCGTCGAACCCATGAGGATTTGTACAAAATCGTATCGCCTCGTCGGATCGAAGATGAAGTCAGGTGTCTCTCCGATTCTTCTGGACACGATGCCGGATTGACCGTTGTCGCACTTTCCCGCAGAGGTCTCACACAAACTCTATAGGAGCTCTCTCAAGAGATGCAACCACTGCAAAAGCCGCAGTCGTCTCAAGGGCAACGATGGCGAGTGCCAATGATGATTGATAGACGAACGCAATGAATTGAACATGGTCTGACCGCTTCTCTTTCTCTGTGAGGAGGCCATGGCTCTCCGCGAGTTAACTTATGAGAAGTTACGCCGCTAGAGGAAGCGTGGCAGTGCTCACTCATCCCATAAACTGAAGGGCTTTCGAGGACGTCTGAAATTTCCGGAATTATCGACTCCATCCTGCGAAAGTCCACCAAAGCTCTTCTCGACATCGGCGCCGGCGTGACAGAAATACCTGGAAAACGCTCCCTCGGAACCGAGGGGATGCAACGAAAGGAAAAAAACTCAAAAGTTTCTTACCGATTCGTGCGACATTCATGTCACAGAGTTCGGAGATCGGCGTCGATCTGGACCAGGTCCCTGACATGCTTGCCGAGTTCTGGAAAGACGGATGGCACTTATCTACACCCAGAAGCAATACTGCCGTGAACGATTCCTCAGCGGTCGAGTGAATGGAACTGATTACAGTACAAACACGACGAGAGCTATGTTCAAACAAAAAGATACGCAATTAACCAATAATTAAAAATCACGCCGGTAGTATAGATAATCGATTTATATGTATCACGAGAATTGTCATTGAAGCCTGGATCGTAAAGCATGAATTTCGGTCCGCGAGAGCTCCGTCTGTGCCCCGAGCGATCAGTAGGTGAACCATGGGTATCCGCTGCAGATTTTGACTCGTCCCTCCTGAGAACGAATCGTCCTTGAGCGGCATTGGTATTAAGAACATGTCGATAACTCTCAGAATTTTCGTATAGATGACGGATTCCCTTAGTGAATGTCTCCCGATTCTTCCAATGAATACATACGAACACATCCCTTACGCTACGATTTGAACGCAAGGGGGGCTCTTTCCGAGAAAAAAATTATTGTCACCAAAACGGGGGAACGATCGGGGAACTTTGCATTCGTTCAGCCTCCCTGTAGCCTACACGGGCTTCTCTCCTCTAATCGATCATCTCCAATCAATGTGCTATCCACGAACGATTTCTTCTTGATTACGAAGTCTCCCTACCGTGTGCTCCTTAGCTCCACATTGATTCCCAATCGGAGATATGTGAGAAGTGAGCGACATGTACACGAAGTAGATGGCGGAGTCTCCGAAGTGCGGATCGCCTGAAGCGGTTTGGAATTGTTCAAAAGGGCGCTCCTGCGATCTTCCTTACCCGACTTCGACTTGAACTCAGATGCAGAAACGTACGAAAGCATTCAATCGCCCTGTTTTTGTCGGAGTGTGTTGCCAAATTATGAATATATTATTATATACTTGAAAAATAATTATATCATACATACTTACATGCATACAAACTTACATTGATTCTACCAAAGCTGATGTTCATTAGCCTATGACATCTTCTTGATGATAATTCTTGTACTTCTAGTGGATGTTCTTGGAGGCGTGTCTGGGGAATAATGGCGCGGAGGGTCGCCGACGCGATTACGATAATGCAAATTATTCGACTTAGCTATCTTTGATATATATAAAATATTAGATAGAAACATATACATATACCCACATGGGATAAGGATATCGATCTTTCGAATTCATGCTCTCTCCATAGTAAAGAACACAATGGAATCAGAAAAATGAATGCAGACAAACAAACGAACCAACCAACCAACATGGTACAAGGGAATTACTGCGTATCAAAATCTCGGAAAGTCATTCCGACGACTCAGTCCTGTCGATCCGCATTGGACCGATTGTACAATGTCAACGACACGAGAGATGGGAGCTCATCGTTTTTGTAAGCGCGGATTCGCTGATGAACTTACGGTAAAAGTTTGTTCAGAACAGCACTCCCTCAAGTGACGATGGATTGCGTTGCACCTTAATGTGGTTATCATCCGGGAATTTCTCCGAGTAGCAATTTATTCACCCTTGACTTCCCTCGGCGAGATTCGAGCTTGTCCCGTCAGGACACTTGCGTCGGCAGCCATCGGAGTAATGATCGTAAACCTACACGCGCGCTCCATCATTCGGCAACGAAACTCTAGAAGCATGAATCTCTTCTGCGTCCTTCCTGTCTCCGAGAGAGGTAAACGTCGCGGAAGTCCCGACCCCGCAATCTGTGCGCAAACTGTTCTCCTAGACACAATGTTTGTCAGTGACTGCTCTACCACTGGTACCCACAATTAGGATAATAGTGGAAGACCGACTCCCCAGAAAATTTATACGGCGTGGCGAAGCCGAGCTGAGAAAACCTCCACAGAGCGGACTGTTATCCTCTAGGAGCTTGTATGCACCCCGAGGCAGGGACGAAAGGGGAAGTACGACATCGGCCTTCGAGCTCCGGATGATCTGGTGTAAATAGAGAAGTGAACCCATATATGATCAATGAAGCGGAAAACTCGCAAAATACGTCGTTCGTCGATGATCTGTCCGAAAGACAGGTTTCGAGGAAGACATGAGTCCGTGCATCGTATATGCTCGCAGAATCCGCATCCCGTAATACCTGCTGTACTCCCAAGCCCCGTTCTCGAAGTACTCCCCCAAAACATCTCGACGCATCCCGACGAAGGACGCATCGCTTCCTAGCAGGTCAAACCACGAACAAAAGAGGGTTCTCAGATATGAATACATTCATACATCTACGAAGTGTACGCGCAGCTCACACAAGAAACAGAGACACATGATTGATGTTAGGGCCATATACGTAAGATGTCCGGCGGGGAACTTTCGAATGTACACAGCGAGCATATAAACTTACAAACATTCCTACATCTTGAATATGAGCATACAGGAGCAGTATACATACGCACGTGTACAACGTTATATATAACAAACATACTGTCGATGGTTATAAATGTGTTGATGGTGGTGAACTGTTATGTCTTTGAAAATAGAGCAGATGGAGGAAATCGTTACTGATCACTTTGGAGCATGATCTAGAGGAATATTGATAACGCCACCTCGCTGTCTGGAGAGAATCGTTGCGCGGTCAGTTCATGGCCTTTCCACAGAATCCATCAGAGATTCACGATTTGGAGCGGGAGAGCCCGCGAACGTAAAACGAGTATTCGGATATCATCGAAGTCTCGTTGAAGAGGGAGACTGCACTTCCTGATTGACTATCTGCTGTATACTCTCGATTTATTGCTTAAACCGGACTCGATGAATCTAGAAGAAAGTGACAGCGAAATTTCATTCCCCCCACTATTCTTCGGAAAAATACGACGGTGTAAGAACGATAGCAGCAACAACAACAAATACCAACCATCAATCTCGTCGGTCACATCGTCACATGACAGGAAATTTTGTACATTGCTATGCAAGGACAATAACGGAGAGAAAAATCCAAATAAAAATTTCTTCGTCACCGTTAAAACGTTTCGCTCTGAGTTCTCTTTGGCCCCGTTCGCGGGAATACGGAATGGTCATGATGCTCAGCTCGAGCTTCTCGCTGAAACCCAGAGGAGACCGGCTGGCAAGACGATTTCGGTGAGAGCTTGACCTCCAACGAAGGAGTGAGCTCTCCAGCGTAGCTGCGCGCTTCCTGTCTGATTGATCAAGGGAATGAGACTATAGAGCCCGATCCGATCATATCCTGACAGAGTTCATTACCCTGCTTTTTGAATGCATCGTCCTATGGGGACGTTCCGGGACGATATCCCTCGCCGACTTCACTGTCCGGTCGTCGCTTGCAGGACGCAAATAGGTCAGCGGCGCCGATAAGTAAACGTTTCCAGGCGACACGGAAGTTGCGGATCGTGAACACGTCCGCATCCGTCATCACTCTTACCGCAAGTAGGGAAATTCATCGACGCGGGAGTCTCGCGGGCCGTTCTCGGTGTCATCGCTTGTTCGAGAGAGAAAATCTAAGCCCCTTCGGAGTTACGCGAATTCTCGAGCGTCTTCCGATAACGATGAGAGGAATGCATCAAATCGCCCCCAATTCATCAACGTCGGAACGCGCAAAAATATATAGCGACTCTTTGAGCCAGTGAAATTGAGAGTGGAGCAAGGATATTCGTCCGCAGCTCCCATGTCCTCGTCGGAACACGGCAATCGATTTCGAACGTTCCTCGGATGAAACCAAAAGCACAACACCGTGGTTAGATCGATCAAGCGCTCTGTGGACCCAAAGCATAGAAGTCGCAGGGACGATTCGAGAGAAACACCGACGAAGGTCCCTTAGAGATTAAGGCGACCTTGAAAAATTAGTTTCACGACAGTTCGTAGTCGGACGGACTGACGGATCGACCGGTCGGAGATACTGAGCGCGGATGCCGACAGGCGCCGCTCGTGTCGCCCTTCCAACGTGGTGGATACGTGGTTGGAAGTGCTCTCCGAGCTGGCTAGGCCCACAGCCCGTGCTGGCGGAAGGGCCATCGGTCCTAGTGGCCGGCAAGCTAGCCAGCCAGCCCGCCAGCTCACCCGGCGAGCTGGTTGAGTGTTTAGATGGCAGACTTGCTTTCTTTCGGAGGCTCCGGCCTGTTGCAGCGGGCCGCTGTCGCGGCAGTAGCGGCAGCGGCGTCTGTGTTGAGAAGAAGGGAAAGCGGTCGGATAACCTTCTCGCACGGGAACGGTTCGCTGTTGCTGGCTGTGACGACGACTGCCGCTGATCAAGAGAGGCGAGCGAGCAGTGGTTCAGCCCTTGTTCTGCTAGTAGGGGTGAAGAGACGTTTAGCCGGCAGCACACACAGCATCAAGCACGGAGGCGAGAGCCGCCACGTATTCTTAGTGCTACCCTGATCCAGTGGTGAAGTAACAGCTGTCTGTGCGCCTGCTATCATCTACCATCCAATGGCTCCGCGAAAAAGCCAGAAATCAGGCTCTCAAGAAGCCGAGTGCGAGTCCTGTGCCTGGACTCGACTCGTTCACTGGAGAGACCCCCAGAAGTCGGGCATCGTTTCCGGCGTGGGTCTGATCGTTCTATTTTCCATCTGCAAATTCTCCGTGATCTCTGTCGCGGCCTACACGCTACTGGCCGCCGTATGCGGTGCTTTTGGGTTCCGAGTCTACAAACTCGTCATGTCCAAGGTGAACAAGACCGAAGAAGGACATCCGTTCCAGGACCTGCTCGATCTTCCTTTGCCCGCAAACTTGTCCGACACCGAAAAGGCTCAACAGTTCGGAGAAACTCTTTTCGCGAACGTCCTCAGCACCATTCGGAAAATCCGCTCGGTCGTACTCATCGAAGATCTGATCGAATCGGCAAAGTTCATCGTCTTACTGTGGTTCGCCACATATATCGGCGCGTGGTTCAATGGTCTGACTCTTGTCATTCTCCTTTGGATCGGGCTCTTCTCTGTGCCGAAAATCTACGTCGAATACCAGACGGAAATCGACGAGCAGCTCGAGAAGATTTCTAGCCTCGTCGGCCAGGTCCGAAGCAAGATTCCCGGTCAGGCAGCCGACGCCAAGGAAGACTAGTCTCGTCCCAAAGAGAGAACTCATCTGGCCACCAAGCGGCAATGTCTAGCTGCCTGATTCAATACGGAAATATTTATGATCACTTCACGGATCGGTTGGCTCCCTGGAAAGGGGCACAAGGAACCAGCCCGCAGCCAGACACCGAGCGCTCGGGAACATTTCTAGGCTTCCGTTGTAAAATTTTCATTTTTTTTATCGCCAATCAATCGGCCCAGCGATAGGGAACGGACTCTAGAGGAAATCAATTTGAATGAAATGGAAACATCGTCGGACTGGACCTGACGGAGAAGCTCAATGGAGACCCACCCGCATGAAAAATGAAAACACGAGTCCTGCAGATATGTTTGCTCCACGCGGCCGGATGTCCATGTCAGTGTCTGGACTCTGGACCTCACGAAGGAGGCCTCAACGCTTAAGCGGTCTTACAACATTTTGTAATAAATTGAAATACCCTATAAATAAACCTTTCTCATAAACGGATCGAGCGAAGTATTGGATCTTGGAAAATCAATATTCAATCAGAAGAGGAATGTAATCGACCGATTTATGGAAACTTTCATTCGAGTGTAGCGGTGTAGCTTCGGCAGTTGTGATCGGCGAAATTGTGAGACCGGATAGATTTCAGGGTTTTCGTTCGCACGCCATCCCTCTGAAGTACTACTTGTATTAGTTATTGTATTTGAGGCTCGTGAATGACCTGAGAATATTCTGAGCGGAACGTCCCCGACTCTCAGCGCTCTCCGTGGTCTCAGAGATCGGTGAAGATGCCAACGAAACGACCGGGACTTCAACAGGCTCTCGCGCCGGCAGAAGGGTTCCGAACCAGGAGAGCCGACCTGAAGCTTGATAAGATCATTGCCCACGTTGGCTCCAACGTGTCAGCCGAGCTTCCAATCGAACAGCTCGTCGTGTTAGTTGACGAGCTCCACGGCCAACACTGCCGAACGTTGGAAGGACCTAGCTTCTATTCTGGGTCGCCTGAAACCTGCATTGGAGGATGGTAAGAGCATCAAACGGAACCCTGATTATCCAAGTGAGATTCAGGGCGTCACTTGTAAACATCGAGTTGCCTGAGGCTCGGAGCTGAGCTCCTGCTGTGACAGCTCGTCGTAGAGATACCCGTCGGGAATGAGGAATTCCATCGGGGAATCCGAAAGCAGTAGCTCCCGGGAGCTCTCTCGTCATTGATTCAAAATGATTTTCACGTCTCATGTCCGGCAGGAAATTTATTCTTCAGAAGAGCGAATCCTAAGCAGTCATGAAATCGGACAGTAGGCATCATCAGGCCACTCGGCAGACCGTCAAAAGCAAAGACATATGGTCGAATGTGGCACTCCAAATCACCGATCATGGGGATGTGGGCTGCTTAACATGATTGCCAATCATCGTAAGATGAACGATCTCGCATCCCGGTCTGACCTCTCGACTTCACCAAGAGATCGGCAACATCGAGAATCGTTGGAGAAACGCATTGTTCCGAAGGACTCATGTGACGGCTAAGCCACAGCCTGTTCCTAGTCGAACACACTTGCTCCAGACGCAACGTTGTGTGGGAGGATGAGTCACGATCGCAGTGAATTCGTTTAGCACTGTGGTAGGCCACCGTACATATGTCGCCTTTGGGCCACGCGACGCCTGCGGAGCTCTTCTGCCAGCTGATAAGTCAGCTTTGGCAGGAGTCTTCCTGTCTGCGGGCAGAAACGTAAGGATTCAGAAAAAGTAACAATCTGCTGACACACGGTATCAAATCTTATCGAGGCATCTGGGATCGGCCAGTCATCGGCGCTCGGAGTCGATCGGAGATCATCAATGGAGCCCCGTGGGAATACAACGGATCTAATGGAGCCGCGAACATTTTAGAGAACAGGATATTGCGGCATGAGTTGTCGCGTCCATATCAGATGTTTGCAGCAACTCTCAGCAGAGGCTGACGCCGATTACGCTACGGTCCCCGCTCTCAGTCTGAGATACAATGCAGACCGGTCTTTGGGTATGCCGCGGCAACCGGCGAGCTAGAAGCCTCACTCGCTCGCTCATTCGAGCGGTTGCATTATATAACCACCGGAGACGAGGCAAAAATAGACGCGACATTTCCTTGAACTCGGTTAGGCTCAGAATGTAATTGCATTGCAAGTTTCCACGCAGCTCCACTGCATGTCGACGGTGACGTGCAAGGCGAGGGTGCGGCTCTGTACCTCGGCAGCGCTGTGGTAAAGAGAATAACCCTACGCACATTTCCCTTCGTAACTCATTTCACGCACATTTCCTCCGTGCCTTCGCATTCGGCGAGTGTTGCAAACTAACCCGTTCGAAGTTCGTCAAGGATGGAGGCAGAAGTGGAACGGTTGAAACTCATTGTTCTTTCTTGCCGATCGGTGTGAGCCTTGCAGACGGACACGAGTGAGGGAATCAGCAAGCGAGAGCACTCGGTCTTCTTGGAATGGAATTCTTCGAACATGGGCTTTATTTAAGCGAAGACTCGTTTCCGCTGCATCCGGACTGCACCCGGGCAGGACATTTCCTTGGGTCAAGCCAGATATGCAGCTGTGTTCCGGACGCATCTCTCGACGAAGGAACATCGGGGGCATCGGGCATGCTCTGAACAAACCACAATCTATTTTACACGGAGGATATCTGCCGGCGCTGTCGGCCGCGTTGGTGCTCTTCAGATCGGCACCGGATTTTGGTTGAGGTACTGTTGCGCGAAACTCTTCACAAAGCTCTCCATTATCGGGAAGAGCATTTTTTTCGGCGTATTTTTTAGGAACAGATTCGCGACTTTCGTTAGATCCATTTTTGTGTCCATCCCGAACACCTGTGAAAGGAACGTCGGATCGAAATCGAATCCCCTTGACAGTCTTTCCGCCGCGCCGCAGGGAATTCAGCGGCTTCATCAGGGTAGAATATTCAGAAAGACTTTCACTCACATCAATGTGCAGATTCTCCATCCTCAGAATGGTGACTCTATCTACAAGAACTCGGTTCGTCGTTCGCGGTAATATCGCTCGGACATCGGCTTCGAACAGGGACAGATTCACTTCGGCGTCTCCTCTGATACCGATTGGTGTTTTGAATTTCGACTTCAAAATCGGATCCTTTATACCTGTCGGCGCGGTGTCCTCGAAGGATTATTAAGGTCATCTCGCTGATGGAAGCTTGTTCCCATGGCATCCCAGGAAAGAGGGGACAGGCGCCGTGACTCACTCTTGGGAAGCAAGAGCAAGTCGCAGAGGTGTTCCGATCTCAATCATGTGGGAAAAAATTCCCGGCATTGTTCGGCTTCGAGCATGTCGCGCAGATTGAGATAAGATTCGAGGGTGGGAGTGTGAAACGAGATTTACGATTGGAGTCATGAGTGGTCATCATTATCCGAGGTGAAATTACTTGAAAAATGTCCGATGGATTGAAATTCCCTGGAGCTCACCGAATACGAGTCTGACGTTCATCTGGTCGTCATCACAAGAAATGGTCGTGGAATCGTTGATGTAAAAATTTTGAAAGTTGTAGAGCTCGCCTCCGTAGATGGTGGCGAACGGGAATTTGAATGTCGTATTCCCCGTGCTGAAGGGCTGTAACTCATCGTCTCCGAATACTTTCGGGTGGACTGTTTTGTAGAATTCAAGTGTGTCCGAGATCATCTACGGAGAGAACGGAGGAGAACTCTTCTCATCGTGCGAGCCTAGAACTTGGCGCTTCCCACCGGCATCGTTCTCCCCTTGGGATCTCCAATATCTGGAGGATATTTACTCAACTCACCTCGATGAGACCAGACGCATAAGAGCAGAACTGCATCGCAGGTCGGTCAGTAACCCCTTCCTGTGGGCCATTCAGCGGCGAATCTTCACTGCTCCCGGTACTGATCAGCAATCCGACGAGCACCACGCTGAGCAGGAACATGGGACATCTCGATTGAGGCGATCTCGAGGGCATCACAATCATCGGCCGGAGCTCGTATAAATCCGATTGAGCCTTAAGTGAGGCGATTCGAACGTCTTGACTTGACTGCGCGCCCGATCGCTGGACCGATTGTGAGCGAGTAACTTTTCGAACAAATGATGAGCGGAAGTCGAGGTCGTTGCGGGCTCTTGAAAATAACTAAGCGACCCGGACGCTCTGAAGGTCTGAGGGAAACGCTTATCGAAATCCAGACAAGGTTAATTGAGCTGAACAAATAATCGGACGAGCCGGCCTAGCTGAAATTGAGAGTCGCACTACATTCGGTTGTTGATCGCCATCGCACTGCTGTGGAAGTTACGGAGCTCACACGATCAATTCCGATCAGACCTTGAGCAGTTTTTCAAGTTCGATCCCACCAATTCGAATCCCTCACTCCTTCGAGGACAAGCTGCCAGGATTCGTGATCATCGTCATAGCGGTCTATGGGCTCATGAGTACCCTTCATGATGGATGAATCTGTATACCTTTGCCAATCCACGTATCCAGTGTGCCGTATTCAAATTTTGTAAAATAATCACTCACTAAAAGTGAGGAAGGACAACGTCGATCGTCAATCAAGAGGCGACTTTATTGATGTTGACACTCCACGAAAGACGCCTTCGACTCAATTTGACTGGGTATACATAATCTGATAGGTTTTGATTGAAGTATTTACATGAGTGGTGGCCTCATATCATCTCGTAGTCGCATCTTCGGTATAGTCTCTTCGCCTATCTGTCTACATGACACGATTTCCCCTTGCTCCGACTTCTCAAATCTGGTAACTGATAGAATTTGCTCTCCGCCTCCGATTTCTGCACTCAGAAGCTCGACCGCCCGTCTGTTCGCAGTTTCCTGCGTTCAAGCCCGACAATAATTGCCGCCGGTGTAAATCGCTCGAACGCTTGTGTAGCCGAAGCGTGGATTCCGTCGCTAAGATTCACGAGCAACATCTGCGTTCGGTACCACGGAATAAATATAATTTAGACGCTCTCTTTAAACTTTTCCGATGCCGTATTGCTTGGCGCGCTCATCGAAGAAATTTCCCGAACTCCTCCTCACAATCGCCTGCAAGTTCGTATCCGTTTCCCGTTTGATTCTATCGCTGAGTGGTTCATCGACTTTCTGGTGACTGCGCCATGGCCTCAATTAGAAATATCTCTACGTATCGGAGAGCTTCTGTCGGTATATTCTCTTACAATATCCCAGGACTTCACCAGTCGAAGGTTCCTTCCATCCTCCATCTAAGAACTACAGGGGTGGATTGCGCTCCAAAGAGTTCGGAGGGCTGTCCGGAACCTTCACGGCACTTTCTGGGAGCAACAAAGCTAGCAGGTGTTGTACATGCTGATTTCGATATACGACGACGGTACGAATCCTTCTTCACCCGTTGATCTCATTCGTACCCTCGTCCAGCCGTCTCCTTGGTCGAGTTCCACGAGGTACATTTCATCGTTTTCAGACATGGCGATCGCTCCTTCATTCTCGGCTGGAACGGGAGCGGAACAATTAGAATCCCTCGAGGATGAGAGTTTGGGGAAATTCAGATCTCGTCAGCAGAGCTTCGCAGCGCTTCAATGTCCATGTTCCATCTGAGGAATTCCGGGGCCCCAGCTGGAAGCCCGGTTCCGCGACCGAGCGAAAGCGAATGGCCGCGCCAGTCACCCCGCTATCGAGCATAGTTTTTCCCGGAAGGGGCCGGCCCGCGATACTACGAGACACGAGAGGGTTCGGGACAGATAGAACTGTGTCCTATTTCAACAACCAGAACATCCCACGGAACGCGAGCCCACGCGATTCCCACGAGGAATTCGGGCGTCTACATCTGTGCAGTACAATTCCAACAAATCGTTCGTTCCGAGGAACCTTATTAGGTCCTTTGCTGACTCGGTCGCGTCCGGGAGACCGTGCCTAGACTTTTATTCAGGGAGCTGAATCTGACTACGATATTTTGAACTCACCTTCGAATGGGTAAAGAGCGACAGCTGTACCCAGAGGGGGCAACGTCTCGTCTTCTTCGTGATGGTCTTCGAATTCTGGATCGTCAATGTCTCTCAACGACCCACTCCCTACCCCGCTCTCAGAATTGTAGGCGGCATGGTCCCCGTTTGAGGTGTAGGCCCCGCCTCCTGGAATCGTCGCGTACACTGTAAATCGAGAAAAACGAAGACATGCACTCGTAGCACGGGCAGACCAATTGAAGCGGAACACAATATAAAGTATTTAACTCTTCCAGCCATGATGCATCGCTCAGCCGCCGAATATTCCTTCGTGATTCCTCACGGAGGGAACGGTGGGAACCTTCCCACATCAAGCGTGAAAGGGAGGGGGGGCGATTGACTATGTGTACAATATCGATTATATCGATACCGAACACCGTCGTGGGGTCTGCGCATGCTCTTATCACACTCTGAAGAAGACCAGGCGTTGCGAATGAATTGAGATGGGAATGGAAGTCAAGGCGAAAATCAATTATTCCAAGAATAAGCAAATATGTCCGGAGGAAATTCCCGGCGAATCCGGTTTGCGCATGCCTCAGAACTCGCTTGTCAAATTCGCAAACAATTATAATTCTCCGGATACCTTCATCGAGAAAAAAAAAGTTTTCGCCATGAGTATCGATTCCCTCTCTTGTTGACTTGTCAGCATACCTTCTTCTTCAATGGGGGCTATATGATGGTGACCATTGGATGCAGGTGAAAGGGGACCCGAACAGGTCGAAATCGAGGTGTCTCCGGCTATACCGTGACTTCCGTTCGATATGTTAGTCATGTTAGCTAGGAGAGCCCCGCTCGCGGCAGAGAGGCAAGCAGAGTGAGTTGACGGAGATGTTGGCGTTAGCGGGGTCACAGCTTGGGATGAGTTGGTTGAACCGGACGATGCGGAATTATTTCGAGACAGGCTGTGTTTGACCGCACTGATTCCGTTCGTGGCTCTACTCAAGACGTTTTTAGCGTTGACGGCAGCCGATAGGATTCGATGAGTACCTGAGTTATTGTGGATGTTCGACTCGTCCGAGTTCGAGCGCGAGAGAGAGCCCGTATCCTCGCTGATAATGGAATTCCCACGCGTGTGACTACTTTGTCTCTTGGCGGTATCCGGAGTCGAGGATTCGATCTCGTTCAGGAGGCTTTGAAGTCTGCAATGGGAAGCAACATTGAAAAAAAAACCAGATGCAGACAAGGAACACTGGACCGGAATTTTGACGAATATCCGCGGGTCACGGAAGGGAACGACGCGCCGCGGTCTGGAAGGGACCGGATCGGCCCCAACTTCACTTCCAACTCACTTCTGCACTTGTTCGTGTAAGGTGTCGATTTGCTTATTGCAGCGCTCGGTTTCGGCGTTCAGGGAAGCCGGATCCCCGAGATTCGGATTCTCTTCGTATGTTCGCCGCATTTTGTGCAGTCCGTCTCTCTGATTCGTCTCGTGCTCTAACTCACTGCGAACATCTTTGAGCTTTTTCTGAATCTTCTTCTTCCTCTGATTCGGGGGAAGGTCGACCCACGTCTCCTCCTTGGCGTCCTCGTTGTTGTTCTGGAACGATCAAGTACAACAGCTGCCTTAGCGACGCGAGGTGGGCAACTCGGTAGAAGGGTGAGGAACATTCTCTCAAGAACATGTAGAATCAACTGGGATCGGACAAGCTTTCGTCTCTCGTGCAACTCCCGCTCGTCTTGGCTAGCTCGCTAGCAAGCAGCTCTGCAAGAAGATATGTACAGACACGAGCGGGTCACGATAGAAAACTACTCGCGAAGCAGCTTCCCACGTGAATATCTCCGCTTGTTTGCCGGCGATCCGCTTTGTTTCGCTTGACAGAGGGCGTGCCCCGAAGACCGACGAACAAGTTAAGATATGATGACCGCAAGTACGGTATGCCGAGATCTTTCCAGTATCATCATCATCATCACCATATGAGTAGCCCCGTGGTTCGAAGCGAACGCTCCCAATTGGACACGGAAATTGACGATCACAGGCAGACGGCGGATAAAAGACTCAAGTTCAGCGCGACCGGTCACCCGGCTGACCAAGCAAACGTATCGCGAACTCCATTCCCCTCATCGATCATCGTATTAACGCTCGTAGGTTCGTCTTCCTGTGCGTGCGTGCGCCCATCCGTCGGTAGTCTTCGGCGGGTCGATATTGCGATTTTTGAGGTCTAGCTCAAAAGCGTAGGTCACCGTGGGGAGTACGCGAGCAAAAGGCAAACGAGCCGGTGAGAGAGCGGCTTGTCTTGTCAAGCCGACTTGCAGCCGCCATTCGGAGAGTCGACCCTAAATAACGTGACGATTCGAAGAACGAAGCCTCGGACGTACTGACCGACGGATGGATGGACATTCGAATGACGAGGAGGAAGGATGCGTAAAAAGTGTCCGCCGCGACCGCTGCCGATTCTGCGGCCGTTGATTCTCCTCACTACTTAGACGACGACAGCGACGACGACGACGACAGCGACGACGACGAGGAATAAGAAGGAGACGACCGAGAAGATTGCGAAAAAGTCACGCGGCGGTAGCAACCGTCAGCGGCTCTTCTTCGCATCGTCGTAAACGCCGGCAATGCTATAGCTAGCGAGCTGCTGACTGGCTCGCCGGAACGTCGAAGACGAGCGACCAGTCAGTAAATTAGTCCATGCCGCTGGCTGCGTCATTCGCTTCTGGATACCGCTACTTCTGCTGCCGCTGCTCTGGCGGCTGCGGCAACGAGCTACGAACGTTGAGCTGATCGTCAGTTCCGGGCGCAAACGCACACGCACAGACCGAATCGTGGAAGAGGATTCATCGTACGAAGCTACAATGTTTTCACTTCAGCAAATAACGGATCACCTTTGTCTTGGACGAGGCGGTTTCAATCTTCAGTCTGCCGATTAGGCGCCACTAGCACATTCCTCGCACAGAATCACGCACGAGCCTACTCACTCATTCACGCGCGTAAGCATAAGGGCGCATCGTACGGGGATGCCCGTTAGTCAGAGTTCGAATTCCATGACGTTTAAATGATTGGATGAATTGATGATGGATCGTGGCAGAGAAACGGTGGGGATCACCGGCGAAGCACAGACGCAGAGACAAACGAAAAGTCGAGGGGATAACAAGCGCTCTCGGTGACTGCGGCGGGGCATGCCCTGGCTACCACTCGGGACGATCGCACAATTACTTACATACGACAGAACGACGAAACGAACAACGTCCGATGAAGACGAATGAACGTTCAGAAGCACGGATAGAATTGTAATTCTGTTAGGGCCTCATATCTCTTGACCCGCCTCGCGTAGAGTCGACTCCCGAACCGGGATTCTTCACCTTCAGCCCTGTGGGCATGGGGAGGAGCGGGGGAAAACCCGCGAGAGCCGCGAGAATCGATAAACGCGGAGCGAGAACGCCGAGTCATGTCTCTTTTGTCAATAATGATCGTACAGCGATGATGCTTACCTTGTTCGAAGGGCCGAAAATGTTTGCCAGAATGTTCCGCTTTTTGGTCTTGCCAGAGAGCGTCCCTCGCATCGTGAGTTTATCTTTGTGCCCTATGCCACCGCTAGTGCTCGAGCTATAGGTCAAACTCGCCCCGTTAGGCTTCTCATCGCTGAGGTTCTCAAACGGGAAGTCGTCCGGGGGGGTAAACCCGCTCTTGTAAGTTTCTATAACGCGTTCCGAATCCTTGATGGCGTCTATGCCGTCAGCGGCCGTGATTATTCCTTTCAGACAGTTGTTGATTATCGGTTCCACCTTCAGCTGCGACTCGGCCACCTGCTTCATGAAGCTCTGTATACAGGTTATTCGGCGTTCGTCCATTTGCTGGAGGTCGTTGAACACTCTGGGCATTAAGTCGTTGAAGTGCATTCGCTGCGAAAGGAAGAAGTTTACGTCAGTACGTCCGGGAAAAAGTAGCGAATGAGGCCGATGAAAGAATCGATCCAATGTGTGGCACTCACTTGAAGTTCGTTGGTCTTATGCAGTTGTGCGGCGTACTCAGCCTTCGCTTCTTCGCAGAGCTGGTTCTTGGCTAGGGAAGACTGCTTCGCGATCTCGACCTCGGCTCGTGAAAGATGCATGTCTTTTTCGGCACGTTCGTGTTTCTCATGCGCTTTTTCGGCTTCGCGATGGGCTTTGCCGTACGCCTTCTGGCACTTGTCCATTTGGGCCACGCAATTCTGGAGATTCTGTTGCAGTTTGGTGCCTTCGCCGAGTAGACGTTTCCGTTCATCTTTGAGCTCTTTTACGAGACCGGCGATCTCCCTAGCTATGTTCTGAACCAGCGCTTCCGAAATCCTTTCGTGCTGATTCGCTAGATGTACAACTTCCTCGAGCATTTTGTTGAACGCTACGTGGGTGCTGAAGTTCGCTTCTTCGTCCTCCTGGCCTTGGGGGCGCGTTTTCTTCGGCTGATATTTGCGGGCCATTTTCCGGAGCCGGTCGGCATACTCGAATTCGATCGTAGATCTGTCTTTGATAAAGCTTTGGAAGTTCTCCAGGAATAGGGCTCCATTCTGGGTGTGGGCGGAGATCTTATCGTATTGATCCTGGAATTGCAGAAGGAACAGGTTAGGAAGGCTGTTCGCGATCGTTCCGCCACCCGTCTCGATGTACATAGCGCCGGATCGTGCCGCGTCGCGCCGCACGCACTGCGATCTCACGAACTGACTCAAGAGAACGGAATGACCATTACTTATATCAAACAAAAAGAGAAAATTATGCTCAAGACTCCCACATATGACAAAGGGTACGCGACCGTTGTCGCCCTTGCTTCTCAACGACCTGGTTCCAGATCCGAGAACGAAGTCAGCGACGCTGACGCCATCGCGTCGTCTCCATCGAACAGCCACAGGCACTGCACGGGTCAACTATCCGACTCCGATGATTATTTAAGCAAGGCAGCTCATTGTTCCGGCCGTTCGATGATGCCTCAGCAGCCGTCACGCTGTTAACTGGGACATCATACGAGCTGGCGACAAACGACAATTCGGATCAAACGACCGACTTCTCCCACCGGGGAATTGAATCTTGCTCCACTCACGCCGGGACTGTCGGAGATTCTGACGAATTTCGAAACACATTTCAAACAGTCTAACTGCATTTGGAGAGCTATCATCCTCGCGATGATCCAAGTACTTAGGAATCCCGTTCCGTTCCGTCAACATGTCCAGGCTTCCTCGAGAGAGCGTGACTGATAGCTCATCGAACCTTTCCTTCCAGTAGTAACGGGACCAAGACGTAGAGCTCTGTCGCGACTCGACTAGCGTCTGGGCCGTTTCAACATTCATCAGTCACGAGCCACAACCGACATTGGTCGCTCGCGTCAGTCCGCCGACCGCTGAGATAGTCAATTGATATGAGAATCGATCCGGCAGAAACTATCAGGGAAAAGTTTCCATCTGATATGGAATCATTTCCGAATATTCCGAAAGGAGGGATTCTCTCATGTCTTCTGTCGTCGGTCACTCCCCTCCTGATAAGGTCCTCGCGAAATTTTCCGGATCGATGCCGGGCAAGGGTGCGAGTCGCCAACGGGATCTTTGAGCGGGTGCGATGGATTTTCGTCTCGAAATGAGAGAAAATTGCCCGAGCCGTTGCCAACATGTGTTGATATCCCACAGGAAAACACTCCCTCCAGCCCTGTCACTGTATATGGAAGTCGGAGAAGAAAAATGCGCCTGTCGCAGCCCAAAAAGCTGCAGCGCTGCTTCGGCCGCCGATCGAAACTCGCATCAATGTTCTTGTTCCCGAGTGGGTTCGTGGCGCAGATCGCAGCGCAGAGTTGCCCATCAACCCAAACCACTGCTGACGGTGACTGTGCTCAGAAATCACTGATTAGGGATGTCATCGAGAAAACACGAGCTAGTTTCCAGGCTGGAGCGTCCCGAGAACGTGCCGGAGGAATAACGAGTGGGCGACATGGCGTCTTATCGAAGCTGCCGCTCCGATCCACGAGGGGACCGCGAAGACCCGCTTTTAAAGCATTATCGAGCACGATTCCAAAACTGTATTGGAGCTTACGGTCCCCGCCATCGGCCCGATCGTCCGTGGGAACGAATGTGAGACACTTTCTGATGCTTTTCGGGGGCGTTTGAAAAACACACACACTCACACACGACTACATGCAATGCGAATCTGACCACTCAATTCAATTCGGCCACCCACTATCGGTACCGAAGAGAGACCCTCCCACGAAGTGGTGGTGGGCCCCGAAGGAACCACTTTTCGCGGTTGACCAATCGTTTGATGAACGTGCAACCTTCATCACGGGTCATCGTCTTCGCGCGCTACGAGCCGAGAAAATCAAACCCTCAGAAGCATGTACATACGTCCCATTACAATGAACATACGTCGTAGACGCGCTAAAGACGCTACGCGATGTAATTATTCTGCGTGGAGTTGCGAAACGACACAGAACTGGGCGCGGACAAAGTTCATGTCGTGCTCCGAAACACGTCACCGAAGCCAACGCTTCTCAGAAACGAACGCGCAACAGATGAAGTAGAACGAACACAAAGCTCAGTTCGCAAGGCCGATGGATCACGGCTGATATGGGGTAGTCAAGGGGCATCAAACTCCGCCGCAATGGTTGAAGGAGAAGACGACGACGACAACGGCGAAAGACACCGCTACAACAAAACAGTTCAAGATCACGAGGCCCGCCTCCGAGAGAAAGCGGTCGATTTCATTAGCATCACAATCGGAGCTTGATTGGAAGATGGATGGAAATTTCTGGCTGGATGGCGAAGGTCGTGCTTTTGATTCACGACTTCGAGCAAGAGAGACAAAAACAATACAAAATCGCTTTTTCTCACGTAGACGAGCCTCGCTCACAACCTGTAATATGCAGAATGTATCGTAACGGCTCTTGGTCGCAACCGCGCGCGATGCGACGGATGCTACATCAGAAGTTCGGGTCATGATCGGGAAGCAATCAGCGGCGTATGGCTTGGGAAAATTTATGCTTTCACATGAGGATTGGAAGATCATCGGAAATCGACGGCGAATCCGCATCGTCAAACGAAGACTTCTCTCGGATCGGGTCGGAAAGCAAACGATGAATATTTTGACTGACACGGATCGCACGCAGATTTCACTTGACACTACGCAGCATCCAATGGCGGAAGCTCGTGAATGGGATGGCGCTCTCATTAAGGTTCTTCGAATGCACACAGCTCTTCCACGACACCGAACGCCTCATCAGCTGCCGTTGCTCCTGGGACGACCCTCAACGCGTCTGCTCAACGGTCGACCATGGCGTCGCAGAGTCCTGATTGATCGATTGGGACTCTAGACTGCATGATTGACGTTTGCGCACCGAAATTCACAACGCATACGCGAGACCCAGCCGTCCGATGAGAGGACGAACTCATTGCGAACATTTCCCGCTATCAATATGAAAATGAATCTGTATCGGGAAAATGTCGGTGTGTCCCAATTTCTAAAGAATTTGACCGGGATCGGTCGAGCTTTTTCTCGAGATAAGGGCTCGGAGCGTGAAGCGTTGTGGGACACCGTATATAGTGAAATAACCAGGGAAAAAATCCATCAGACTGTCGCCTAACAGACCAACGCATCTTTAGTCAGACCAAATGATCATCCGACTTGATTCATTGGTTCACTATTCGATCAGAGCGTTTTAGAAAAATGCTCTCGATATTTTTCTTCACCCGTACCGGGCGATTAAGCTGGAACGGTGATTATCTCGAGGCGTCTCGAGCGATTCGGACTGAGCCAAACGGAGGAATCACCATTCCAATGTTCTCCGGCCGGCCGTATGGCCCGACGTACAATCGGAACGAAGGCGATAGGAACATGATCAAGAGGTGAGTAGGCGAATTCGATGAACTTCCTTCCGAGCGACGTAAGTTCAGGAAACATACTCGTCGGAATCGCTACATCAAGGCGGGCGGGTCGACAAGGAGGCAGGCGGGAGAAGCGGCAGGCGGACGAGCCCGCTTGTCACAGGAACCCGCGGTCGGCAGCCAAAAATAAACGAATTTCCTGCTGTCCCGATGTCCGTGGTAATTTTTTAGGCACTTACGCATGTGTAATGTGACCGAAAGACTGCCTGACTGAGAGTGAAATCGAGAAGTTTCGCGGCAGAATGTTCATCAGCCTTTCGGCTTCATTCTTAGAAGGTGGCGATGTCGTCACCGTCACCGCGGATGACGACAAGGGTCAAACGACGAAGCTCAAACAAAACCGTCACCGCAAAAAAACTGCCTCAACTACTACTACTGTTAGCCAGTCGCACCTACGAAGATCGTGAGGGCTCGGAGCGGTTCCTTTGATCGTTCATTCGTTCGTAGGTTCGAATCATGCTTGAAGAAAAGCGATAACCTTGACTGGTAAAGAGAAAGGAAGGCATCATCGGCGTCAAGAGTTCACTGAGTTGCCGAACAAACGGACGAACAATACATGACCGTCATGGAAGAGGCATCCGCGCTGAAGACGATCACTGCACATCGCAACAAAACCAACAACAAGACCTCCATTTACCGCCCCGTTGAAGAGCACCAACCGGAAGTTCGATTGATGCTTGTCAGAGCCAGGAGAATTCTACCTCAAAAGATCCTTTCCAAATAAAGGAAAAATTAGATACGATCGCCCGCTTTCACGTCCATTGATCCCTTTTTGAAGCAACAAGAATATATTCGTTTCATTGTTTCATTTGCAGCGGATTTTCCTCTGCTCTCGTTTTCTTCCGCATCCGTCACTGGGTAAAGAGGGTAAAATTCTCGCGTTTTGCCCAAAACTAATTACACTGATCTGAGACGTGCTCTTCGCTATGCCTACCATCGAGAATAACAGATCAGCTGACCAATCGTCGATTCGAAAGCGACGACCGGAGCGGCCACAGCATCGGTAGCGCGATGTAAGTCTATTGGATTCTCTTCCGGATACATGCTAATCGTGGTTAGCGTTCGGACAGAAGGAGCTTTGGAATGGTAGGGAAATAGCTTGGTTCATGAAAACGCGGAGCCATCGACAAAGCCATCGATACAGTCGGTGCGTAGTCGATGTTTTCAAAATATGAGCCACTAAGTAGACTTGAACCAGGACGGTCGCGTTTGTGTGCCGAAGCTTCCCTTGGAAGAGCCATTCGATGGAGCTCGAAGCTGTCATTCCTCGTACCGACATCGCGTCTCTGTCCGCCAATCGCTGTATGTTGGTCAGTATTCATCGCCCTCGAGCCATTCATCTGTACAGTGTATCCTTCCGTCGGCGGGAACAAACGAAACAGAAAGTCCAGAAAAAGACGGCCGAAGGTTCAGATTGGCGAAAGTGATCGTTTACGGCGACCGATCACCCGAGGGCCTCATGTGAAAATCAAAGAAATATAAATAGTTGCACTTCGGTAGACAATAGTCCGACGGCCTAATCCGGGCATTGACTTAAAATAATCCAGCTCTCACAAGTACGTCCAAGTCCTTCGCTGTCGACTCGACTCAAGGCGACTTCCGCCGGGTATTCCAGCACTGTCGTCATCCAACAACGATCTGACAGAAATGTTCTAATTTCGGCACCCGCCGCACGGCTGAGC